GTCACCTTAGTTACAAGAAGAAGCAAGGAAATCACATTGAACACCAAAACGAAACAAGCGGCAACCCTCGCAAAAGGTCAGCAAATCATCAACGCAGATGAGGTGTAGGCCCCGCAGAAAGACACACAGTCACCGTTGTTTGTAGCCCTGATGATGTCGTGATTGAGTTCCGCTGAGATACCTGCCAGTACTCGAAGCCGCACCAAGTATATTGCCAACAAATGAACAAGGTATTGGTTAAAGACAGCTCGGCCATTTGAGTAAATCACGCACTACGCCAGCACCGTGGAAACAAGAACGTAATTGAACGCGGTGGTGAAGAAAAAAAAACACACTGAAAGCACCATATTACCAAGAGCTACAACAAGACGAAGGCAAGACGCCGTGCCCGCAAAATCCAAAGCTACAGCCATCCACAGTAAATGCCGGGCCGCGAAAATAGTCACAGCTATCACACAAAGGAAGAGAAGCGGCCTCCCGACACCGTTCATCTTATCTACCGCACGTACTGGGGCGGCAAAAACGGCGCCGGCCGTACACGCTGACACAACGCACCGGCGGAAGCTCGCATTTGCAGGTAGCGCCATTGAAGATAGAAATGTTGTACGGTGCTTCATTCCATAAACTTATTGCCTAGTTGATGCAGGAAGACAAAAAAAAAAAGGAGCAAGGGGGGCGGGGGGATGAAAGCGCCAAATAAGAAAAAAAAACATTCCCTCTCCCTCACAGCATGTGCATGCAAGCGTGCATGCCTTCCAAGCCCACCTCCTACATTGCGTCAGCCCTTTTCACTCACTTCTGCTCAGGCTCACCCCCGTTGGTGCCCCCCCGCTTAAGCTACTTCGCAGTCCCCTCAGCATTGTCGTGGGTGGAGAGGGCCTCCTTCGCCTTGTGCTGCTCGTGCTCCAGCTGCTTCTTCTTCAGTGCCTCCTCACGGCGCGCCTTCACCTCCACCATCTCACGATTGATGCGGCGTCGGTTCGCAATGACATCGTAGAGGGCGCCAAGGCAGCGGCCAATCGCGGCGACGAACATGGCAATTGCCTGATCATTCGAGTGACGAATCATCTCCGTGGACGTCTTGAGATGGTAGATCTGCGGTTGCAGGCTGATGGCTTCCTGCAGCACACTCAGCACATCCTCCGAAATGGGCATTAGACCCCCCGCAACGTCGTGCAAGTAGTCCTCAATGGACTGCAGGACACAACTGAGGTGGGCCAGCGAGAATTCCCGCTCCTGGATCTGCGTCGAAAGCGTTGTAATGGTGGAGTCTGTCAGGTCACGCAGCAGGTGTTCAATGCCTATCTCCTCCGCCTCCTCCGCGCCCAGGTACGTCGGGATGTTGCGGAACTCCAAAGAACGGGCCCCCTCACGGCCCTGGACCGTTGTGTATGCTAGCACAGGGACACCCTTATTGCTGGGGTCCGTGTTCACAATGCAGTACACCGGGTTGGCGGTGAAACGATCGGCTAGGAGCAAGTGAAGCAGCATATCGTTTGGTTGAACGGTGCACGATGGCCCAGCAGAGTACCAACCAACAACCTGCACTTTTGGGAACACACGACGGAACATATGAAACATCTCATCCGCGTAGTTTGTGTCGACAAACCACACATCCGAGTTGTGTGGGTCCTCATCAAAAGGCACAGCAAAACTGTTGTTGATATCCAGCAACGGCGTCCCGTCCGGGAGACGCTTGTAGCGACCGAGCAGAAGGCCAGCGACGCGGCGCTTTTGCACCACCTTGGCGTTCACTCGTGCGTAGTGGTCAACGAGAGAGAGCAAAACAAGAGGGTGCACGTCCACGCGAGCAGCCGTCGGCGTAAAGACAACCGCGTCCCCTTGCCCATCACCCGAACCCCGCGCGTCGTCGCCACCACAGCCGGCAATGGAATCGTCTATGCGGCCATCATCATCAGCAGCGCGTTGCTGCGGCTCGTCTTTCGCCATCCCCCGAGTTCTTAACCCCTCGTCACCCAACAATCTTTATTCACTAACTATTTCCTGTGGTCTCTGCGCGTCGTATATCTCGCTCTCCTGCCACTGCCAAAAAAATCGCACGGGAAAGAAAGTGGAAGACGGACACACACAAATGGACGCCTGGGGATCAACATATAAAGGCACCACCACTCACAATAAATAAATAAATAACACAGGGCGCACGCCTCGGAGACACGCATCCAACGACGTGTCTCCTTCCGTCTCGTCACAAAACATATACACGGAACCAACTTCAACTCCCCACCCCCACCCCACCCCCCCCACACACACACACGGAGCGATAGCAGTTTTTACAAAATGTGTCATGGAACACAGGCTAGACCCTCCGCCGCACCACAAATTCGTTGCGTCATTCAGAGAACAGTCAAAACGTCAACGTCACCACCTAACTACTCGTTTTCATCCAGTGAAGACGTCGGGATGCACCATTCCTTCTTTCTCGCCTGTTATTTGTACGCAAACTGCGAGGGGTGCGTCGTGAGCAAACTGGAATACCCACTCACTACCTCCACACCCATAAGCACCGCGCTGTCTTCACTACCAGGGCTCTGCGTGCAAGCTGCACCCGGCCGCTCTGAGCCAGTCACCTCAGTTACAAGAAGAAGCAAGGAAATCACATTGAACACCAAAACGAAACAAGCGGCAACCCTCGCAAAAGGTCAGCAAATCATCAACGCAGATGAGGTGTAGG